GGGGGTGTGTTTTTTTTTTTTTTTTTTACAAAGGTAGAGCCAGGGGGACAAAGCAACACTGGAAATTTGGAAACGGGCCTCCTGAGGACATCCCTGAAAAATAATGAATGCTAGAACAGCAGCACAGTGTTTCTGAAGCCCACTTTTCTGTCTGCGATTTGAACTTTTTGCACAGATACTAATACACATTGTAAACAGATTTGATTTTTTTTTTCCATGAGTGGGTGGATATTTATCAGACTTGTACCTGATTTGAGTTGAATTTGTATTGGACATTTCTTGTGCTGATGGTATTTGTGTGTGTATGACAGATTGTGTCAAAGCAACTGAACAGCATTAATTAGGAAAATAGTGTGTCAATAATGCAAAATGATAATAGTAAACTCTCAATTTTCAGTTCAAGGCAGTTCATCATTGAATTGAGTGATGTCATCATCCAGCTCAGTTTAGTTTAAATAGTATCTATGCAATCAAGTCGACGGTATCGCTGGAAATTAAAAGGATAGTTCACCCAAAAATGAAAATTCTGTCATTATCTCAGATTCCATCAAAAATATCTTAATTTGTGTTCCGAAGATGAACGAAGGTCTTACGGGTTTGAAACGACACGAGGATAAGTAATTAATGACAGAATTTTCATTTTTGGGCGAACTAACCCTTTTAAGTGTCCCCAACTAAGCAAGCCAGAGGCGACATCGGCAAGGAACCAAAACTCCATCGGTGACAGAATGGAGAAAAAACCTTGGGAGAAACCAGGCTCAGTCGGGGGGCCAGTTCTCCTCTGGCCAGACGAAACCAGCAGTTCAATTCCAGGCTGCAGCAAAGTCACATTGTGCAGAGGACTCAACTGGTTCCTGTGGTCTTGTCCCGGTGGCCATCTATGAGAAAAGGTCTTCACTGGGGATCTGTCTCTGGGGCTCATCTAGTTGTCCTGGTCTCCGCTGTTTGTGTGTGTGTGGGTGTGGGTGCGTGTACACTTCTTCTGCTGCTAGTTCTGTTGTGTTGTTTTACCATTTGGTACTGGCGTTCATGTTCTGTAGACTCAAACTTCAGCATAATCTATATAGTGTTGCTATAGGTACTAAAGGGATGTTCTAACCAAAAAATTGTCATTATTTACTCACCCTCATGCCAATTCCAACCTTGTATGCATTTCATTCTTCTGTGGAACACAAACGAAGATATTTTTGATTTTGAAAAAAAAACAAAAAAACTAACTACTACAAAAATGAAAATTCTGTCATCATTTGCATGGTCTCATTTTGTTCTAGACCCACTTTTTTCTGTGGAAAGCAAAAGGAAAGGCAGAATGTTCATGCTTCTTTTCGTACATTGAAAGCAACTCATGCACTATATTTCAAGTCTTCTGAAGCCATATGATAGCTTGATTTAATGTTTATGAGAAACAGATTGAAATATAAGTTTTATTCGGTTACTTTTCCTCCCACTGCATCCTCAAATCTTATTTGCATTTGGGTAATTTAAAATATGCTATGTAAAGACCTTCTGCAGCAAGTTTGACTTTTTATATGTAGATCTGCCAACCCAATCTCACTGGAAAATGTAGCAATTTTACATGGTGGCAATTTCATATGAATTCACATTAATTCCTACCACCTTCATAACTGGGGCTTAAGCAGATCATACAAAAATGTATGAATGTGTGAATTAATATGAATTAACCACCAATTTGCCAAAACATAAAATAGAAATTGCCATTAAATTGTGTTGGATCTACATTGGTTTTTATGTGACATGACCAATTAAAAGTTTGATTGTCCAGGAGAAATTTTCAGGAAATAACCACCAAATTTGAGGTATCCTCATACAAAGCTATCATATGTCTTAAAAAAAATAACAGTAATGTAATACACAAGTCATATGGATAACTTAGTGGTTTAGTGCTTAGTGGTCCTATTTTGGAGCATGATGGGTTGGGCCAGGACATTTCTCCTTTTGTTTTCCACAGAAGTCATTTACAGGTTTGAAACGACATGAGAGTGAGTAAATGACAGAATTTTCGTTTTGGTTGAACAATTTCTTTAAACTAACCCAGCACATGTGAGGAATCCCCTGCTTCAGCTCTCATCCAGGCTGGCACAGAACGCATCCCCTCCAGCCAGCCAATCATGCGGCTGTCCCTGCGGCCCCGTCACAGAACCAGAGAGAGAGTGAGTGGGACTTGAAAGAGAAGAGCAAGAGAGAGGTCGCTCTCAGCCTGCCTGAGCTGAGTGAAATAAAACCCTCCCAGGAATCCTTCTCTCTATCTCTGTCTCTGTCTTTCTTTCTCTGAATCCACACATCTAGGTTTACCCGGCATATCACTCTTGCAGTGATGGCCACTCTCTACTCCCACACAGCAGGCTGTGTTATTATGACTGTGAGGTGCTCACTGAGTTTGACAGTGGACTTCGCATCTCCTTCAACATGTGATGGTGCGAGATGGACACCTACACATTCTATAGTTTGACAGCACTGCGAACTCTACCAAACATTCTTTTTTTCTCTCTTCTGTTTTTGATTTAGTTTCTGTCTTAGAAGACAGCTATTTGTTGGTTGTGCTTTGTATTATTGTGCCGTTTGTTTGCATGTTTTCTCATTTGTCTCTGGCTGTTGTTTATTCTGTTCTGCTCTTTGTTCTTGTGTTCGTATAACAGTGTGGGTCTATTCACAAGCCCAATAACATTCTGAAAAACACAAAAGAAACCTGAAAATCAGGATTATATATAACGTTATAGATGTCTTTACTGTCAATCTTGATCAAATGAATGTGAGTGAATGTGAGTGAAAATATTCATTTATTTAAAAAAAATCTTTTGAATGATGGTGTACTACAAAAAAAAAAAAAGTTTCCTAAAATCAAGTATAATATAGTATAATAAGTCTTTCGATATTGTGAAAGTAGTTTGCTGTGCTTAATGCCTGGGGTTGGGCAAATTTTAGTCCATCCCTGCCTAATAGGAGTGGTTCACTTCCAGAATGAAAATTCTGTCATTTACTCACCTTCCACTTGTTCCAAACCTGTATGAGTTTCTCAAATTCTGTTGAACACAAAAGAAGATATTTTGAAAAAATGTTAGTATCCGAACAGTTGATGGGCACCATTGACTTCCATAGTATTTTTTTTTCCTACTATGGAAGTCAGTGGTGCTCATCAACTGTTCAGATACTACCATTTTTCAAAATATCTTCTTTTGCTTTCAACAGAAGAAAGAAACTCATACAGGTTTGAAACAAGTGGAGGAGTAAATGATGACAGAATTTTCATTCTAGAAGTGAACTACTACTTTAAAGCATCTTTTAGTTGACCTGTGACTATATTCAAGATATATTAGATATAATACCATTCTCATAATATTTATTTTACATAGCTTGTTGCATATTTTTGTCTGTTGGCTTCAGTGAATCCCTATAATATCTGCTCAAGCAAGTCAGAACAGAATATTCTTTGACAACTTCAGTTCAAGGTTGTAATTCCATAATCTTCCCTAAAAATATCGCCTGCTGAGATTTTTCTTGGTTGCTTCAAATAGCTATTAAACAAATATCCCCATAAGCCTATCCTATTCCAACAGGCAAATTCTCATCTACTCTGGGGTGCTTATGTCTGCTGGTGTTACACAATCTGTAGATGCTGGAACAAAGCATAATATTAGTGGTGTCATTTACTAACAGCCTAGCAACCACTCTGAAAGCCCTAGTAACCGCGAAGCAACACACTGACAACCACACAGAACACCTTAACACCACGCCAGCAATGTTTGCACAGGAAAGCATCACACACATCAGAATCAAGCTGTATCTCCATGGAGATGCTGCTCTATTGTTATTGTAGCACAGCAACATCATTGTGTTATGATGGTGAATTGACAGCTGAATAGCATTTGAGTGGCGTCCCTCTTCATTTCCTGTTTCTGCAGTTAATAAATAACACGTCTGTGCATTAACATCTTTAAACAGTCCATGAATATACTTCAGGAGCTTGATGGACGTGCATGACATTTCCATGCTTGTATATTGCCAAAGACTGTTTCAGCAAAAGGTAATCTTTCTGTCAGTCGGGCATTGTTGATCTAAACCCAACTGACAGAGGATTCTAGTTGCTACTCTTCATATATTCAGAGACTAGACAGAATATCTGAAATGTTTCTTTTTTCCTCTCCCTTTTTAACTAGAGTGTATTGTAATCTTCCTTCATGTTTATTTAGAGATCGTTCCCCTCATTTTTTCAGCTGTTTGTAAAAGGACTGTCCAGGCAAAAATAAGCATCTAAAAAACCAAACCAAGCCATTAATGGACATTATTTTTTCCACGTCTACATCATATTTTTCATGAACTTCATTGATCTGGCAAGTTCCAGTGTTCTCTTAGAATCCTGTCTATTTGTATTTTTTTCCATTTCCATTTCCATTCCATTTGTTAGTTCATAGTTTTGATTAATATTATAAAATGTGAAAAATAGTTGTATAATTATGGAAATGGGTGGAAATGCTGTTCCATGTTCTGCACACTAATGAAGTACTCTAGAATCCCCAAACTGAAAACAGAGGAGTATGTAGGGAGTGATGCTTGAAGATCAGCTGCTCTACGGTTTCACCGAATGTTGACCTTCAAAAACACTGTTAGCAATTCACTGATTTTGCTATATGAGATAAAGGAACTGTCAATGATGTTATTCCTTTTAAGGCATGTAGGACTGTATTTAAATGTTGTTGTTTTTTTTTTATTATTTTCTCTCTTAGTGCACTTGGAGGATCTTCGGCATTACATATCCCAGCATTCCCCAGTGGAGGCTGCCTCATTGACTATGTGCCTCAAGTGTGCCAATTACTCACAAACAAGGTAAAGAATAATCCCTACTTTTTGTGTGTGTGTTCCTTCATTTAATTACTATAATCGTATAATCAGTTAGGTTACACTATCAGTGAAGTGTGGGTTTGTTTATAGTACACAATAATGTGTACGGATGTTAAAGTTGATGCGCTTGTATGAATTCGCATGCATGTGTTTTTATTTGTTTATGTACATTTCTGATGAGTTTAGACAAGGCCTTATGACAAGTGGAAATAAGATGGAGAAAATGTGACTGTCACTAGCCTGAGGAGTGACTGACATTCCTTTCCCCTGACATCTCTACTTCAGTTCAGCCCCACTCCTCATATCCACACAGACAGCATGAATAATCAACCCTTCCAATCTTCCACTTCATGCCCCACCAGTAGCCCCCAGCTCCTCAGGACACACTCACCTGAACTAGAGTCACACATTAGTCTGCTTGAAAATGACAAAATTGACAACATAGAACTTTTCTTGCCCCCAGTTTAAGTTTATATTCGACAAATTAGATTCATATAAATGAGGGGGTTTATGTGTTTCAGAGTGCTTATATCTACTCCAGTGCTTGCAGTGTAGTGTACTGATTCAGAGGTTTTTGGGGTCATTAAACATCATCACACCAAACAGGAAAACTAATCTTCTCACTAGTCCGCTTTTACAGCCCGTTTGCATTTATGTGCATGCTCTTGCCAATGATTCTAATCAGACTTTCAAGGAAAATGGTTTTTAAATAAAGACTGAAAGTGTTGTTGGAAGCTTAGTGATGGTGACGTTGAAGTCATGAGACTGTCATGTACTTCTTTTATAAGCCTGTTTAGCTTTTTTACTTTTGCAGATTGTATTTAGGCTCCAAAATTTAAAAAAAAGTTGTGTTCATTTGTTAATCATGATGAACAAAATGTTTAAGAATCATAAACGTGTTGGTCACAGAGCTTCATTAATAATAGCATTGCGTTTTTGCTGAGGGTACCACGGTGATGCCAACTGCTGGATTGGCCTACAAAAATATGCCATCACAGCAGCATTCTGTAGTATGTGTGGTGACGAACCAAAATTGAAACCATTATTCACTGATAATTTTAAACTCTGCTGCAGCTCTCAGATCAGATATGGTGCAGGTTTCATGACCCACATCATGTTTGTGAAAGTGACACTATTATGACAGATCACATCTGTGGTAGTAAAACCTGTTATGAATGGTATTTTCTATTCCAGAATGAGCACACAGTCACCGGAAGCTGGACTCTGAACTTTTGCCATAGAGCATGTTCTGTGATCACTGATCTCACCTGTCAGCATCTCCCACACTCCATGCGTGGGTGTAGAGTTCACTGATCCAAAGTTCCTGACACACCTCCTCTAAACAATCAAGGCTTAGAGAAACAAAAAGAACAAGTTTGTGTGTGTGTGTGTGTTTTTTAGAGTGTATGATTCTAACCTCTGCTAATTTAATCAGTGCAAGAGATTCAGAGACATACAAATTAGAGCCCTGCACGGGCCTCAAATATAGGCCCTAGCCTGGCCCTTGTCCGACAGCTTATCAGAATTACCGGCCCGAGTCCGAATTTTTTTTTTTTTCATCACTAATTGATAGATGTCTAAAATATAAAAATAAGGAGAAGCTATGATGTGAAAATTGTCCCGAAGCCCAGCCCTAGGGGCGTAAAAAAGTCAGGGCCCGTCGGGCCCGGGCTGAAATGCAGGGCTCTAATACAAATGCTTACATCTACTTAACAAAAAAACTGTTGTTGCTTTCACATATTCTAGCATTTTCCTCTATAGCATAAGATTGATCAACAATTTTCCTCCAGAATGTTTTGTGGTGACAAATGGAATATTGGCATTAAACCACCAAAATGTTCAGCCATACAGTTAGGGAACTGCAGTCTGCCAGAACATATGTTAAATTCGGGGTTATTTATGTACATCTAAGAGGTCAGTGAGTGTAGGTCACCATCAAGCAGTTCGGGACCTGAGGGTCTTTCACCTGCTGCCAGTGGAGGTCAGAGTATGGCTCTCTCTGACTGCCACAAGCCATCCATCTGTCACGCAGGGTAACAAACATTGGTTAGGCAAACACCTTTCCTGGATGCTGAATCTCATAAACAAGGCATGAAAGCAAAGACTTTCAAGCAGACTTTTTTTTCTTGCTAAAAATGTAGTGTAGAACCCTAGATACAGTATGAGCTCCATATATCACCACCCTTTCACACAAAAAAAGCATCATGTGTAAGTGATTATGAAATACAGTTGTTGTTTTTTTAATTCTAGTAGAAATTGATGAATTTGAAAAGTGATTCCTGTCATAAGACAACACAGATAGAGTCCTGGCCTAATGGTTAATGTACCTGCTCATTCAGATCTTGCTCATATCACTTGCTCAGGCAGATATTTTCTTCAGACAATGTCAGGTCAAGTCACATTTATTTATATAGCATTTTATAAAATACAGATTGTTTGAAAAAAGCTTCATGTTAATAAACAGGAAAACAACAATAATGTTAGGGGCCGTTCAAACAGAGCATGTTTTTCCATTTCCACCGTTGCACTCAATGTCTTGCGTCTTTTGCGGTGTCTCTTGCGCACAGCAAGAAACACAGCACTGACGTTAAAGTAAGTTCAGATTTTAAAGAACACATCTTTTTTTTTTTTTAGGCTTTGCTTTTTTCTGCACTTCACTGTTTTCAAAGCAATAACGTGTTTTGTGTGAATGGCCCGTTAATGTTGTAAAATTCATCAATTACGGAACTTATTCAACTTCAGCTGTAAAGCAGCTCTACAGAAGACTATCGTGACTTTACTCAGCTCAAGTCAGTTAACTGAAATGTTAATTCAGTTCAGTTGAATAACAGTGTCGATTTTGCAAAGGTAGCGTCAGTATCCATCTCAATTCTGTTCAGATTTTTTACATTGTAAAAAAAGTTTCTGATGTGCAGTGACTTTATTTTTTCAGCTGCATTCATTTTGTTATTTTTCCACCGATACACTGTCATTTGATTCTTTATTGCTTTTTTCTTAACACAGGTTCAGTATGTCATTCAAGGATATCACAAGAGGAGAGAATACATTGCTGCTTTTCTCAGTCACTTTGGAATGTGAGTCCATTTTTCCCTTTAAAGACTGCTTAATTTGTCTCTGACATTTAGAGTAAACCATATTCATTTAACAGTCATTTAACAACTTAAAAAGGAGAAACACCAGCAATTTATCATAAAAGGAGCCTAATAAATTAACAGCGTTATTACTAATTTCAGTAGTGATCTAGAATTGTACAAATTCAAATTCATTGTTAGGTTTTTGTATATAAAGTGTTAACCCAATAGAAAGCTAAAAGTGATGTGATACACTTGAGATATAAAACCCTCCAAATCAAGACAATGAATAAATAAAACTGGCCTTGCAAGTCTATACCTGAAGTGGTAACCAGTATAGCTGCTCACCATGCCCCTGTGATCATGAGAAATTAGTTACCAACATTAATTCCTTTTTTTGTTTGTTTAATTACTTAGGATAATTCTGCTTCTAATCTCATAAACAAGTACAAACAGCCGCTTTATAATGGGCTCTAATACACAAGGCACCAAGATGTCTCCAGTTTATTAACACACCTTAATACGTCGTCAGACAACGCAGTCTGGCAAGAGGCACAACCTAGCACGTTGATTTAAAAAAACGTAGTAGGACGACGCATTATTCATATCTCATGGTTCTTCAGTGCTGTTCTCTTTACAATTTTGATATTAAGTATCCTCTGCTAATGGTCCAGAAGATACCATGGCCCTAAAAAGTATTTGGGCTCATAAAAATGTTTGAATGTCATTGCATTAGATGACAAAATAATTACATGATTAAAATTGTAGCTTAAGTGTCCGAATACTTTTTGGGGTTACTGTGTGTTTGACTCCTTTGTCAGTCGTTTTGAAGTCAAGTTTTTAATAGTACAGATATTGCCAATCATGGCAATATTACAGGGATATGCCAAGTTGTCCTTGTTATCTTATATTGTATACAGCAATATCATCAAGTATGAATATTTCTCTATTTTGACTACACCAGGGGTGTGGTAGAGTATGATGCTGTTGGGTTTACCAAGCTCACCCTTCTGCTCATGTGGAAAGACTTCTGCTTCCTGGTCCATGGTGAGATACACAAACATGTCCCCTTTATGCAACCCAGGGTCATTGGAAATATGTGACTCTGGAAAAAAAAACTTGTTCCAGGTACATTTTGCTGCACATTTCCGGTAACACATTCATAAAAGGCTCTATAGGTGATATAATTTGTTTCTCCATTGCAGATAAAAATGCATTTGCTGAAGCAACCGTGCCATTTTAGATTCTAGAAGTCTTTGAGCTTTTTTACTGTGGAAAAAAAACTGCATTGAATTGTATATATTTGTACGTTTTTGCAGAAATGAAGCCAGAGTCACGTATTTTCACTGAGGCTAAGTTGCCATTATATATTGTGAAAATATGAACTTCTATAACTATTCCATGGTGGTATTTTTCATGCTTCACCATTTCTGTTATGGATGATCTGTGTTTGAGCTGTTCTCCATGCTGTCTTCTTGTAGTGGACCTGCCTTTATACTTCCCTCGAGATCAACCTACCCTCACGTTTCAGTCTATCTATCACTTCACCAGCAGTGGGCAGCTCTACTCTCAGGTGCAGAAATCTTACCCCTACAGTCCACGCTGGGACGGCAACGAGATGGCCAAGCGAGCCAAGTAAGAACAAATGAATAATGAATCCTCCTTACAAAGAGCAACCGATAGTTTTCTCCCTGTGAAATTGTATTCCTCTCATTTGGTTCCACTTTATATATAATGGTGACCTGAATGCAGTTAAAGTGAGTTTTCTGGAAGCTTCTGGAATGTGTAGCATTCACCTTTGGACTTTTTGCCCAGCCACACCTCATAGCTGGAGAGCACTCTTTGTCCTGAGTGTGATAAGTGTTAAAGATAATACATTACTTTTGTTTGTGTTTGGCCTGTATCTTATCTCTGCTTGGATAACATTTCCTTTGGCTTTCTGGATTAGCTTTAATCAAGCAGAGAATAAAAATGTAGATGCACTTGTCAACTTTACCAGCTTGTATGGACATTTATTTAGTCTTTTCTGCAATGATCGGTTGTAGTCTGTGTTTCCTTACTTTTTGAACATATATCAAACTGTAGCATTGTAGCAATGCTAAATACAAAAAAATGTACTAAAAACTTGACTAGTCAATATTAATACCAGCATAATCTAATGATTCTTTATACCAATTCTGTGGTCCAGCATTAAAAATTGTAATTATAAAGTTAAATGTTATTATAAATATTAACACGTTGAATTAAGTAGTCTTTAAGTAGAAAGTATCGTTTTTCTAGTAATTTGTCAAGTTAATAGTCAGGAGTTCAGGGTGATTCACATGTAAGTTTCAACATGACACTGCTGTTGTTGTGTCTCTTTCTCTTTCTCTTTCTTTTCTGTTTCTCTCACTCTCGTTTTCTCTCTCCCACAGGGCTTACTTCAAAAGCTTTATCCCTCAGTTCCAGGAGGGGGCTTTTGCCACCGGAAAACTGTAGATGTACTGTGTGAATTAGGAGCTCTCTGATTTGAATGGAGAGTCTATAAACATGATGTACAGGAGACAGCATGTGCTCAGAGTCAAGCAGGAGTCTGTAAAAGAAACCTGTGATTCGCAAGTCTGCCAACTAGTACTCTTCAATGTTGCAGCCCTCATAAGCAATGTCATTTGGTTCATTTAAAAGTACTGTGTGTATTTTATTTTTTTTATTTTTTTTTTTATTTATATGCTATTTGTGTTTTCTCATGTTCTTTATGTAATAGATTACATCAATAAATCAAGTTACTTTGCTGCTTTACTCAGTTTCTGGTTTTATGTTTTAAAGTGTTTTACATTTTTAATTCATCCACTGATTAATTTTTCTGTCAGGACCACTATCGTCAAAGATGACTGACAATTAAGGTGTCGTATTCCCACAGGTTGATGGGGATCAGCTGAAGGTCAGCTGATGCAAGCTTGACTAACGTGACCTGCCAGAACTAACACTACGCTTGATGTTTTGTACCTGTTTATTTTAGGCAAATCTGATAAATATTTAGCTGAGCTGTATCAATGTGTTATTTTGGTAACACTTCTACAATAAGGTTCCATTTGTTAACATTAGTTAACTACATTTAATAAATACCATAATAAATGCATTGCTCGTTAGTGCATTGTTGCATTGCTGCTAATGCATCGCATTGTTAGTTATTGTTAATTAATGCATTAACTAATAGAAATAGGAACTAATTCTAAAAATCAACTCCAAATCTAAAGTTCAGTAAGGCCATGTTTGGAGGAATGTGAATATCTTGGATTTGATTGGAGTGGCTGTCGATCATAGCTCTCATAACTTGTGTTAGCATTTATTACCAAGGTCAGACAACGCCTACATTCTATTATCTGTTACATCTAGTCTTTTCACCATTCAGTTTTCATTTTGACTGTGTCAGGAGAAACTATGAAACCAAAATGTAATCATTAGCACCAAACAGGTTGGATTATTTGAAGCATCAAATTCCGTTTAAAGGGGTGGTTGATTGCGATTTCACTTTTTTAACATTAGTTAGTGTGTAATGTTGCTGTTTGAGCATAAACAATATCTGCAAAGTTACGAAGCTGAAAGTTCAATGCAAACGGAGATATCGTCTTTTAAAATTCTGGCAGTTTAATGCCTACAAAAACAGCTGGTAGGGACTACAACAAGTTACTTCCCGGGTTCGTGACGTGACAAACCCAGATAAACCCCGCCCTCGAGAAAGGGCAGCAAAGGGGGCGGGGCCATGCTGCGCTGCTTTAGAGAAGAGGAAGAGAAAACTAGTGGTGCACATAAAAATCTATTCATATACGAATCGCGATTCTGTCTTCTAACGATTCTAATGGATTCACAAGTTTCAAAATCAATGTTCTAAAGCAGCGGTTCCTAATCCTGTTCCTCACATCCCCTGCTCTGCACACGCTCTGCTCTGCATCTCTCTCTCTCTCTCTCTCATTCAGCTCAGCTCCAACAATGAACTGTTACGTTTATACACTTATTTTCACATAGCTATGAGAAGCGTTAAACATGGACGCGATCACAGCACACTGGGCTAGCTAACCAATCAGAGCCCATCGCCTATTTCTGAGGGAGGGGCTTCATAAAAGAAGGAAATGATCAGTGAGAAGGGACAGAGCGGTGTGGAATAAAAGTAAAATATGTGAAAAATAATGCATTTTTGTAAAAACAAAGCATTAACACATGTTAGACTGCACCCCATAAACACAATCAAGCCTAGAAAAAAAACAGTGAACCACCCCTTTAAAACTAAGAATGAGCAATGGTAATGATCCTTGCCCTAGCAAACACTAAGTGTGAGGTCATCAGTATTTAACTTGAAGAGAGAAAAAGAGTTCAGCACAAAACTTAATGTTGTTTCAATATTATTTGAGTTGCATCGCAAAGCTATTCATACCTCCATACTAGTTCGTAAATATGTATGAAGTAAGTTGTTGAAAAATGTCGTTAATTTTTTTTCCAATTAAGATTCCACAAAACTGGAAAAAGCATCTAAATTATGAGCACTGTTATTTCTAAAAATGGTTCATTCTAGTCTTGTTTGTTTAATCTTGTAATTTGCAAGAAGAGTGTAGTTGAATGTGTTGCACTGCACTTTGAAGGATTTGGTTCCAATTTGCATGTACGTGTGAGTGAGTGAGTATCTGCATGTGTTGTATTCTTGTGATGGAAAAGTGTCTTGGAGTGTCGTCACTGTCAACACTGATTGCTTTTAACAGGGTTTCAAACTTGAACCAGAGTGAACATTTGTGAGTGTGTTCGTTAAGGGAGTGTAGTCATGAACGGGATGTGTGGGAGACAACCTACAGCTGAAGGATGGAGCGACTGTAAGAGTGAGAGCTCGCTTGTTTTCATCATTAAGCATAGGGGTCATTGTCAGGGGTCTTTGTTGGCCTGGGGGTCTGCCCTCTGCTATATTTGTTGTTGGTAATGTAGGAGCTGTCATGTCTAATTGGGAACCACGGGATGAATGCATTTGGGGCCTTTAATAGAATCAAGTCTCTTAATAAAAGAATTAATAACAAGATTCTTTTTGTCTGTTTTCCTTTCTGTACATGCTTGACACTGTAAACATTTCCGACCTGCTGCTAAACTGGCCCCGTCAGACTGTGTGGACCCCCATTTAAGGTGGTGTTGAGAGAGGTGAACGAAAGGTTGATGGTCCCTTTAAGCCGAAACAGCATTCAGATTTGTTTCTTTTTTTAGCACCCACTCCATCAGCTCTAGTGCTGCATTAACAGTAAATTGCAGTACATTATGGATTGGGAGGAAACAAAGTGCTTCCTCCAGTGTATTTCATGCACATGTCAGCAACTTCTATATCAAAGTCTAATTTTAATTTCAATAGTTTATATCGAAGAGTTGTAATAGGGATGCAGAGGAATAAACAGCTGTAAATGAGGTGTAGTGTGAACCTATTTTCAAAGACCTTGTTTTCTTTTTGCTCTCCACTATTAGTGCCGGGGTCTTGCCTGCCAACGTTGCTGCTAATTCCCCAAATCCACTAATCTTGCTTTATTTAAACCATCTTGATGGCAGCAGGCCACAGAAAATAAAAAACTTGGCAATCTAAATGATGCTCAGATTCATCAATTGCAACGGTATTGTCATTCCAAGCGAGTAAGTTAACCGTTGAAGGAACTGCTGCTGACAGTTTCAGTTGTAGAGGCTATTTTAAAATAACATCAAACCAGCCGTTAATCTGAGTGTATACATTTCTAATACAGGTTTAGAGAAGTCCCAGCCACAATCGCATTTCAAAACAAGTTTTCCCCAGTTTTTCCTCCGTTTTCAGTTTTTCTCAGTGTTTCTGAATGGTGATTATTTGGAAGATGAACAGTGAGAAAATTAGTTAATGCAATTTAAAAAATAAATAAATTTTACAATAAGATCCCATTAGCTAACTTTAATGCATTAACTAACAATGAGAAACCATTTGTTACAGTATTTATTAATCTTTATTAATGTTAGTTATATCTGTATATAGTTACTAGGGGTGCGACGAGATCTCGTGGCACGAGAACGTGACTGGCGCAGACCTTTCAGATATATTTGCATTACACTGGCTCGTTCACCAGTGGTGGTATGTAAGATATTTTGTTCACATCAGGCAAGTGGTCGCATGATAAGCGGGAAAATTACGCAGTGTAGTCTTTATCCAGTCATAAAAACATAATTCAGTTTAACGCGGAATTTGTCAAATTTTGAATTAATTAATCAAAAGTAGGTCATTACACTTAAATCAAATCAGACATGGACTAGTATCTGTAAATATTAAGCAACAAAAGTCGATTTAAATATGAATCCTGTATGTTCTGCCTGTCTCTGTTTATGAATGGCGCAGACGCGCGGTTTCATTTACTACACACACACTGAAGCATGCCTGACACTCGCGGTGATTTCAGCGTCTGCCGTCTCACTAAATGAGGACATAAACACATGAACAACATCTCCAGAACTGCTCTGAGAGTCACTTCATGAGCATTTTAGCGTTTGATTTGAGTAAAACTAGCGTCATATCTCATACACAGAACTGTAAAGATATTCACGGCAACCCGTCAAAATAAAAGTCCGGTTTGATTTGAAGACATTGTGCCTATAACTATTTTTCAGTAGAATGTACATAGCCTACTACTACTACTACAATGAAACAAACATTATTTTTTAAGGAATAATCACACAAAGCATTTCTTCAATGTTTTAATTTTAATAGTAAATCCCCTTTGTTTGCCAAAAAATCTTGTTTGCTTAATTTTCAAAAATTAAAAGATAAATGATAAATTAAATTAATGTTTTATGCCTTCATTTGATAACCAGAACAAAATGTAAATATACAACACAGAATTTATGAGGGGGAAAAAAATCATAAGGCTACTTTAAGAAAAAAATGAATAAATTCAGTTGTTTCATGCATTCAAATAATTAGACATGTTAAAACACAGAATTTGGTAACAATAAAAAATATAAATAATATGGTGAGGAAAAAAATTAAACATTTCATAGGGCCCTAAACATGTAATTTTTGTTAAACTTTTAATAAATTGATGTGAAAATGTATAAGTTTCATGATTTTAATTAATAAGAATAAAAGACTATTTTCCCCTATATATTTCATCATTGAGGAGTCTAAAAATCTCGTCTCGTCTCGTTCTCGTGAACCCAGTCTCGTGTCTCGTCTCGTCTCATGGGATAAGTGTCTCGTCACACCCCTAATAGTTACATAAAAATACAACTGTTTATTGTTACTTCATGTTAGCTCAGGTCCATGAAATAATATAAACAGATACAACCTTTGATTTTAATAATGTATTAGTCCATTTTAAAATTAACATTAACTAAGATTAATAAATGCTTTAGAAATATTTTTCATTATTAGTTCAGGTTAACTAATGTTAAAAAAAGAACCTTATTGTAAAGTATTTTTGTTTGTTTGTAAAGGCTTTACCTTAAAGCCTTAAGAAGAAGAAAAATCTATTGCAGTAATTGTCCACCATTATTTCATTATTCATTATTTCATAGGTAAAAATTAGTTTGATTCACTGAACAAAATCTGTATTTAAAAAAGTTTTTAATAGGTTTATTAGGATATTTAGGAAGACTCAGCAACATTTTTGATGCAAAATGTATCAAATCGAAAAGGTAACAAAAATATCAAACCATTGTTTTAGCCAGATTATAAATTACAGTCATTAACATGTTACAGTGTCAAACTAGGTGTTTGAAACCATCATACCGCTGATTGAGAAAATAAGGTTATAGTTGCTGATACATAGTTCATGTGACAACTTCCCCATGTGACAACTAGCCCCAGTGTCCTCTATGTGCTGACATCTCTAGGTCTAATCGTAATCTCCAATAGTGGATATGACGCCCCTTACTGTGACTTTTGCCTCTGTCCTTACCTTCCTCCAGAAGAACGTCATCCAAGAAATAATCAAAAGAGAGGCGGGAGAAGTCCAGACGTTTGGTTCCCTTTCATCTGCAAGGCAAACTCCAACATTAGATAGAGTTTTGATGTCCACAATAAGAAAGAAAAGAGAACGCAAATGATTGAAAATCCCATTTGCCATCTTAGATCACCTCACCCCCTGGAGATGCAAAGAAGACAGGGCAGCGGCAAACATGAGAGGTAATCGGAGCGAAATAAGGAACATTATGAAGGCCTGAATATGTCAGAGCAAGGCTGACGAAACGCGGTCGCCACCTTTGCCTGTTTACCACTGCTGAGTTTCCCAAGCTGTCAGGCCTGGCGATTTCATACGCGGTCACGGTTATTCAATACATTCCTCTGGAAAACAAAAGACAAACACATCATTAAAATAAAGTCGCTGAAACAAACATTTGTGAGAGGGGAAAACGAGAGACAAAATTTCCTATTCTGGTAACTCTGGGATACTTTGTGTCCTAAAGTCTGCAATTTCAGTGTGATGTTAGTGAGAGTTTATTCCCCTCTTCGTCGTCTTGTTCCAGTGGGGGAGAGGAGGGGGCGGCAGGGATTGAGGATTGAGGATTTCAGCGGTGGCGGCACTCGTATACGTGGATGGGGTTGTTGATGCGAGCCATGTTTGGGATGATGGAGCTGAGAGGCTTAGCTAATTTGGAAGAGTAGAGAAGATTTGAGGCCTTTTGTTGGAGTCTGTTTGATCTGTTGCAGGGGGGAAAAATGGCCTCCAAGATGTCATGGAAATGAGAGAATTACAGTCTTTTTTGCCTCGCTTTGTCAATGTGCAAGATATGTTTTCACCCTTGCTTGATAATAACTTCCACTCGTTAAGCCCTGATTGTTAATTGCTAATTACTCTCCTCCTAGCCATGCATCAAAAGGCAGGAGAGAGCCATGCTAAGCGGATCAAACACGGTCTGTTTCTGGCTCTGACTGGTTTCTGCCGTTGTCTCCCCCTCACGTTTTTGGGACTCGGTTTATTTATTTATTTATTCCATTCTCTTTGGGATATGATGGGGGGATGACAAGATGAATGCAGATTTTCTCCCATCTTCCTCTGGGCTGCAAATCGTAAATGTTCGATTTAGACCTGTCATGGATTTATAGAAGCAAACCCCTCAGGTGCGTCAGCCCTGGCACACAGCTCTTGGCTTTTGCCAGTTTAACTTGGAATTAAAGAGACTGACACTCCATTTGATATGGAGCATTTGTCAGCGACTAAAGATGTGGTCACTTCTTCGTGTGACTTTTTCTGAGATCATTTATTTTAGACATCTTATTTCGTGCAGATGTCTCCGAACTACTTTTGTCCATCCTCAAAGAGTCATGCCCTTCCATGTTCCCTGCATTCCTCCTACTCTCCGTGTGTGGTAGTGCCTGGCTGGCGGCAGTACCTGGTCAACTGTCAGGCTGGATTGAGCGTTGACCGCTGTCAGGCTGGGAGATGTGCTCTGATGGCCTGTCTGGCTGATTGACCTGTCAGAAGGAGTGATGTATGCAAGGTAGAGTCGCATGGACGGGTGCACGCTGCAGATCAAAAGCCAGGAATCTTTTTTAGGAATTTTGTGAACCCTATAGTCCTCGACCTATTCTCTTCAAGAATTTTTACATGGAACTCCAGATTTGTTTGTTTTGTTTATTGTTGTATAATAATTAGACCAGTCCTTATTAAGGCTAAATGGATATATCAATAATTTTGTGTAAGTCTAATAAAACTTGATTGAGACGCATTCAGAGTTATTGCTGCATCTCATATAGATTCAATAAGCCCCATATCATTTGTACAAATAGTTTAATAGATACACTACCCAGATAAGTTTAGTTGGCGGTAGGCCTGCATTTCTGTAACACCCATGGCCAAAATTGTTAAAATCTGCTTTCCATAATGTTTCTCTAACAGATATAGATTTTGGGAAGAGGGAGATTTGTATCTTTGCCAGAATTTTGAGTGGCACATAAAAAATAAATGAATAATAAATTTAAAAAAAATACATTATTGCTTTGCATTTCTTTGTAAGTGGTACATATCAGTTTGCAGTTCTATTCAAACATGATTGTTTTTGTTTAAAGACACTTTCATAGTGATGGTGTCATTTACTGTACCCACGCTGGCTAAATTAGAAAATAAAGATATGAAAATATGAATACCTTAATCGCTTTAATTAGCTTATAATTCTGCTTGGGGTGAAAGGGCCTTATTAGCAGATATTATCTTGTCATATTCTTAGTTTTGAGTAGGAGAAGATGGCACTTCATTTTGTTTTGGTTTTGTTTTGCTGTAATTAATTGACCATGTAGGTTGTATTAAACATTTTTACATTTAAAATTAATATATAAAGCTTTTTATGTAAGTTGTTTAAAGGCAACAAGTCAATGGTTTCCTTTTTTAGCTTGTTTCAGCTATTAAACAAAAAAAAAAAACACTTTTAGTCATTTGTTATACACCAGCAATTACATGTTCCATATTAAACTGCTTTTTACTTTTTAACTGCTTTTTTTACTTTTAAACTGCTTTTAATAACTTTTACATAAACTGTTAAAAATAATAATCCTATTTATTTTTTTTTTAAGCTTTTTTCTTGGAGGAAAATGTCTAACAATAGTAAATGACATCTAAGTCTACAAATCTTTTGTTAAAGGAACACTCCACTATTTTTGAAAATAGGCTCATTTTCCAACTCTCCTAGAGTTAAACAGTTGAGTTTTACCGTTTTCAAATCCATTCAGCCGATCTCCGGGTCTGGCGGTAGCACTTTTAGCTGTAGCTTAGCATAGATCATTTAATCTGATTAGACCGTTAGCATCTCGCTCAAAATTGACCAAAGAGTTTCTGTATTTTTCCTATTTAAAACTTGACTCTTCTGTAGTTACATCGTGTACTAAGACTGACGGAAAATGAAAAGTTGCGATTTTCTAGGCCGATACGGCTAGGAACTATACTCTCATTCCGGCGTAATAATCAAGGAACTTTGCTGCCGTACCATGGGTGCAGCAGGCGCAATGATATTACGCAGCACCTGAAAATAGTGCCCAGCACGCTCCCTGTGCAAGAAGGTGGTCACATTGGTTATGTTGACGGAAGTTAGCCTATTTTCAGGCGCTGCGTAATATCATTGCGCTTGCTGCACCCATGGTACGGCAGCAAAGTTCCTTGATTATTACGCCGGAATGAGATTATAGTTACCTTATGTCATTTTTGAGCGAGATGCTAACGGTCTAATCAGATTCAATGATCTATGCTAAGCTGCAGCTAAAAGTGCTACCATCAGACCCGGAGATCGGCTGAATGGATTCGAAAACGGTAAAACTCAACTGTTTAACTCTAGGAGAATTGGAAAATGAGCCTATTTTCAAAAATAGTGGAGTGTTCCTTTAAAGGGCACCATTTATATATGTTGAGGATTAAATTGTATTAAGTTATTTAACATTTTAATGTAATATGCTTTTACGTAGGTTGTAAAAATAAGTCTCTATATTGTTTTGTAAGCTTGCTGTGATGCTATACATATATAATATATATTACTATAAAGTAATATACTATATATAGTAACATATATTACTATAATTCTGTTTATTATTAATAAGTTGTATTATTCATTGAACATTTGGTAACTTTTATGGCATTGCTGTGCTAATAAAACCAGTTAAAAGTGATCGAACCTGAAACTCATAGCCTATCTGTAGTGCTCTAGACCTTGAATCTTTAATGTTTTAATGTGGTACAATAAACATACCCTTTTAATTAGTTTTTGATGCAGAAGTTAAATGCATCATTATTGCTTACCAAATATTTAACTCCAGCACAGCTGTAAACTGTTGACCTTTGTATGTGCCCTTGACCTCAGAGGTCCTGCCCTGCAGGACTTCAGAAGGAGAGCTAGACAAACAGTGGGCAGCAAACACAGTGAGGAGAGTGTATGGAGGAACGGAGGAGGCTCAAACCCCCCTAGCTGCTTAATTAAATTTTCCACTTTTCCACACTTGCATTAAGCTTTCATTCAACCGGACAGAATGGATGCTCCAAAGGAGTAAGCCCCAGAGAGGGACACTGTTCCCTAACTGTTCCACTTCCTATCCAAAAGAAATATGTGTATAGCTGTAGTAATGGTAATGCCATAGGAAATTGGATAGGGTCAAAGTAACACTCAATTTATCGTCTGTTTCCATTTCTGTAAGGTGGAAAGAATGTCACTTGCATTGTATGTCTCACCTCTCCTGTTCTTTAGGCTTGTTATTGGGTGTTATACAAGGGCAGGTGGAGACAAGTGAAGTTAAACTCATGTACAGACAGGTCAATCGTCAAGAGACTGCTGCTCACTGAGTCAGCATGGTTAGATCTCTTTAGGATTGACAGACAGATTTACATCATAAGGAGATGATGCAAGAAATAATAGAAAATATGATGATATTATCAGTTATTTATTGCATCAGCTCTTTACAATCATGCATTTACTATACCACAACTTGAGTTATTTCATATAGTACCATGCAAAGGTCACATCTGACTTATGCCTCGGATCTGTACTGAGTAAGAGAAACTCTAACTCTAAATCTAAATTGAAATCAAAGTGGAAGTGATTAAAAAAAAAATTTCATAATAAAACTGATACATAGTTCCAGTTCTAGATGCTGATTGGCCTGAAAACACACAATACAGTAATAGTCTATGGAAAAGTTTAATAGTTTATGGAATTGGACAGAAGCTGCATCCAAAGCAGCGTCTATACCACAAAAAATATGTGACTGTTTAATGCTGCACAGAAGTACTCAAGCGCTGAGGAGCTAAACCATTAAGGTCTTTATAAGTAATTAGTATAAGTAATAAGTAATTAAATACATCAAGTACATCTACAGTTAAAACAATGAGGACACGTTTGTTCTTTAACTCCTCCTCAACAAATTACAATTGCAGTTAATATGTAACAAATTTGCCACAAAGCTCCTTTGAATCTGCGGCAATGTTTGCCAAAGGTTTCCTCAAATGTTTGCAAGAAAAGCAGTATTACGTTTTTGTAAGAGCTTACAAATGCTCACTCGTCCCTCCTTTCTTATCAGTGAGGCTTGTTGTGGTAGCTTGCACCTGGGCTTTTTACAAACTGGTGTATTAGTCCTATTTATGTACTGTCACATTCCATGTTTATAGCACTTAAGACACATCAACGAGATGCAGACAGTTTTACAGGAACCTTATCCGATCAGACAGCCCAACACTGGGTCCACACTTGTGCTCTAAACAAATAAATTAGCATTCCAACAGGCTTGCTCCTCATCTCCATGTGCATTCATACTTTACGTAGATCTAAAAGAGCAACCTTGCGTTCCGAAACAATTTTCTCCATTGTGTTCAGTGCCTGTGATGAAAAGGACTCCGAAAGCGGCACCTGACAAAATAATTCGCAAAACAAGGGGGTAGAGGATGTTAAAACTCTCAGATATACCTCTGCATCTTTCCTCTGCTGCCCTCTCGGAATAAAAGCTCACTGTGATGGGTCATATTTGCCTTGGCCAAACACCGAAGGTTTACGGGAAGACCCTCTTGCAGTAAAGACCAATTTTATATCTTTCTGTCCCCCCACCTCTCCTATTTCTTCTCCATTTGTTAAGTTCTTCCACTATACGCTCTTACTTTCCAACCCCCTCTTTGTTTTTAAGTGGCCATCACTTCATTTTGTCGCTCTTTGTTTTGAGTCAGCCACACGTTTGTGACGCATTTCCTTCCATTGTAACAGGAACTGATTCTTGTAGTAATAACTCTTTCAGAACCACGGTCAAAGCCGCAGTTTGTGTTTGTGTATAGGTGAATTTAGCATACTGCCAGCAAAAACAGTTTTTTTAAGACTACTGGCAAGCATAAACACTTCTTGTCAGTTTTCTAAAGGAAGAACGTTTTTCGGTAATAGGGGGGCATGATATCGTAAAGAATGCTTGCATACATCACATTCTTCCTTGCCGAAATAGATCCTGACCACTTGGTTATAGACAGCAGGTGGTGGAAATATAAGTATATAAAGAATGCTCCATTCCGTGACAACTCTGAGTCATTGTAGACGAGTCTCTAGGATTTCTCCATTCACAAACATAAACAAGAATTTAAACGTGAAGTTGCCTGGCTATAGAATTTGGGTCTTTAACACAGCATTCATTGTTCTCAGCTGTCCTAGTCATTTATGAAGATGCTCGTCTCTGTGTTTACCATCTGATCATTCAAAATAATCATGAACTCTTTTATAATTGAATATTTTTGTTTTAATATGTTGTCTTTGTTAAGAAGTTGTTCATCATTGCCTTAGTAAAGAAATCAAGAAATGACCAATGAAGTGCTGTAATAGCAGATGTTTGAATTTCAGCTGTGGTTTTGCTTGGAGAATTATTATTGTGTTGCATTTACCATTTGAGCAAGTCTTTCATATACCAGGGAGATTATGTACAATAGACAAACCAATGCCATGTTTCCTACTTCTCTGTAATGCGATTGGCTTAATCAGTGGAAATGTTCCAGCATGAATTCATGTTCTGTCCTCTGAGTTTCGTATTCCCTGCAGGCCTGGAATGTTCACATTGTAGCTCTGTTCTGTTTCAGACAAGTCTGCATTAGTTGCCAGGGAAATCTGCAAATAAAATTTCAAGAGATCAGTGAACCACTAATCTAGATCAGGTGTTTTCACTAGTCAGTAATCCACAAAACACTTGCTCATCGGCCTCCACCCAAGACTCCCAGGCAGATCGTGACCTTAATTAGGCACTCAGTGCCACCAAATCTACCCCATATTGCATAAAGACAACAATTGTGGGGATTCCAGCATGAAACTATAGCCTACTGTTCTGGCATTAATGTATGTAAATCAGTTTGTGCTATGTCATTAAAATATGTGAAAATTTTAGACTTGTGCCGGTATTCGGTAATGCGATATATCACGGTAAGTAGCAAATGTAGCTATTGCTCATTGTGAATGTTAATGCATTAACTAAGGTTAACTAATGAGGTCTTATTGTAAAGTGATACCTATTGGTCTTTATAGTTTTTTTGCACTTTAATCTGTGTACAACTTTTAACTTTATACATTTTTCTGTATTGCTTTATTGCATTTAAATGTTCAGTTATTTTTGTTATAAGAAAAATGTTATTAAACCTGTTACACTGTATTATGACAGCACTTTAAAAAAAAACTAAATTTCAATATCGTGAAAAAATACCGCATACCGTGATAAACAGCATTATCAATTAATCGCAACATGAAAATTTTATACCGGCATATCCCTAAATGTTATATAGTTTTGTTACTGTTTTAACTCACCCATCATTTTCCCCATGTGATGGAGAGTTGGGCACTGAATTAACAGGTTAAATACGTGATAAACCATCAGTAAAAGTTATATTGCCTCCTTACCTTCCCCATGTGCCTTCATTGTATTTACCTCATATTACAGTACCAGTCGCCACGTGCATCCAGGGCTAGAGACGTTATCAGATTAGAATGAATGCGTCTCATATTAAATCTGGGTTAAGGAGCTTATCCATTTATCAGTATATTGCACTCATGGCCAAGTTAATGCTATGGTGTATGGCCACATGCGATGGAGTATTGTATATGAATATGGTAATCTGAAATAGTAACCTTTTCGTAAGGGCATAGTAATTACACATAGTTATGTGGTTACACTTCTGTGTATATTGTGCATACTGTATGATTTCCGCTTGTTTTCTTTCCACTCAGCTATTTATGGCAGTTATCGATGGTATTAGACTAAACATCGTCGTATTTACCCTGCGAACAGCTATAATTATCTTTCTCTAAGAAGAGATCAGTACTGTGCCAGACAACGACTGACGTTCACCAACACCGGGAACGCGCATCACTTCTGTTCTTGTTCTTTTCCATAATGCTCAGCTATCAGATCAGATGGCAGACAAGTATAGAGAAACACAAACGACAGCCCTTCACAGATATAAAGAGAAATCATAAGATGTAATGTATATTTAGTTTGATCGTAGTATATTGCATATTTATTATTATTATTATTAATGGCTTATTGGTTTACATGGCTTATTCAATTAGTTTGTGTACCTATCAGTCTAATGATGGGTATGTCTTGTGCACCGGTGTTCACTCATACGTTATCTTCATAATTAACTCCAAATCAATTACCTCAAAATGAACTCATCTGAAACGCATTACTGCAGTGAAGTGTTGAAATATTTCCACTTTTTCTGTTTATCGCTGGTAATGCATTATGGCGACATGTCAAACTAAAAATCAATGTTTCCACAACAACATTGGTTCCAAACCCGACTGGTACTGTGTTAAAATGCATTTATATAAACCATCTCCATATCATACCCATGTGTTATGTATCCACAACATGCATTTCTACAAGTATATATATATATATATATATAAAATATCCGATTCCTACACGAAATAGGATGGACTCCACGTAGGACTGTAAAACTCAACTCTAAAAAGTGTTGAAAATTGTATTATACAATTGATAATTCCCCTCCCCCAATACATTTTATTGTACCACTGGCGACATCTATCTGTTCTCCTGGCTGTAAGGGTGAGTTTGATCCAGTCTGGGTTCAAAATTATGTCTGAAGAATTGAGTAAATAGGTTGAAAAACGGTTATGATGAAATAAAGAGTTGAATAATACAAAAAAAAAACTACTGAATTAAGAATCTTGTGTTTCGACCTCCCGAAAGAGTGAAAAACTAAAACTCCATGGTGACAAGAAGCGAAATTTAAGACATGCATGCTTGCAAATTAAAAAGCGCACACACGGTTCCGAGAGCACCATGCTGACCGCAAAGTTATGCTCTGCGGCCACTTTCTATGAAACCCACGACCACCCGCTACACACTCTCCCCTGTGTTCCGTGCAGGACCCAAGAGCATGTGTCCACAGAGACCACCCAGTGAAAGTTAAAGGTGGGGAAAGAGGGGAGGGAATCCTTGACGCGTCTTTACCGTGCCTTTACCAAGAAAACCCATGCGCGTGTGCTCTGACGCAACTGCCCATTTTTGGAAACATGCGTCAATGGTCGAAACCAACTGTGAAATGGGGGTGGCCTTGACAAGCAAACAAGTTTATAAGCAAATTAAAGCATTTTATACATTTCTCCTTTGCTGAATTGCTGGTTCTATAACTTAGAGTTTACCCATATTCTTTCATAAACGTTTCATTGGATAGTAACGTCTGGCATAATTCTATAAAATATACAGGCTGCACCCCTATTTTGCTGTGCGACTTATCAAGGCTGTGACGCGTAGACGCAGGTTGGCGTTGATAAGCGGAGCTACGAAGTAGAGTAGTGCCATTGAAGTGAGTCATCTAACGACGTGACCTGTAGAAGACACTGAAGTTCACTTAGTCGCCAAAATCAGTTCAACAAAGTCCAGAGCGGTACACTCATCATTGCCGTGAGTCACTGCTATAGGGACAGGACTAAACCTACGAGAGCACCGAGTTCACTGAAGAAAAGTAGGTGCTTCACTGATATTTTTTTTTCTTCATTTTCATCTGGTTCAGTAGCGTTGATTTTTTAGGCATTAGGTTTACACGGGAACATCTATTTATTGGACTGTTAAAGAGACTACAGAATTTGAGAGCGTTGACTTCTCTAATAATATAATATTGCATAGATACGCCTGGATTTAACATACTGACCATTAAGAAGTATTTTGGATATCATTTTTAGGTTAGGTATAAAGGAATCGATTTGCTTGGAGGTGCTTCTTTTGCCTCTGAAGACACTCTGATCGTGTGGGAATTCATTATCAACCTTCTGAAATCTCCTCCTCTTTCCCTGGATCATGTACCAGGATTACACCGGGACATACGACACATCCTCCCGCGGCAGCAGCAGCTCACCAGCGCACCCGGACACCAGCCCCATCCCCGCCTCCAACTACCAGGTAGCCTACTGATGCGCTTGAGTGTCCGTATACTGATTACACTTCAAATGTTTACACACTTCTGGTTTACATAACTAGTCCTACCATGTTATCATAGTTAATTCCAAACTAACAGGTAACGATATGCATTTATCCACAGCATATTCGCTTCACACACTTTACATCACAGTGCTCATACTACATTACACATACTAAACGACGTGTTGTTGCAATAAACAACAATGGCAATATTTAATTAGAAGCAGCTCTGCTAAATAAGAACACATTAGCACATTTTCTGTCACGTAAAAAGTGACCACACTTTCTATACATCGAGGACTGGCAGTAAGAGTGACTGGCTGTCGTTTTCATGATGTAAACTGAAGTACATTCAGTGGCCCTGTATGCATGTTTTTGATAGAAAAGCAACTCAAGTGTTATAAGTGCGTAAAACTTATATACATGCATACCTTAAGAATACAGCGTATGCTACATTTTTATATTACTATTTTTATAAATTGCTAGGTTTTAGAATAGGTTAATCGTTTCTGATCATTATTTTCAAAAGAAAGTGCACGAAGGACGCATATAGGTTTTATGCATCGCCGCAAAATGCGTAAAATCCTATCAGAGGAATCCGTCTCGCTCTCTTAATAAATTATTCCCAGAGGTGATTTTTTTTCCCCCGTCTTGCAGTCTATCGTTTTGTTAACATGTTGGCACGCATAACATTATGTTTCCGTGGAATTAGGAATCTCGTCAGATAAGGGTAGCAGTGGCGTGGGTGGTGTGCGTAATGTGAAATAAACCCACGGAGAGCGAGTACGTAGTGGCCACAGGATGCGACACTTCCGGGACTTCCACACAGCTATTGCACTTTACTAACCTTCAGAAAATGTTATATCTGTTTATCTGAAAAAAAAAAAAAAAAAACTTTTATCCGTAGTTAAACTGTAAAGTTTAGGGTGGAGAAAATGAAGCCAATTCGGATATCGAGTACATGGACATTTAAAAAGATGAGACCAGTGAGGACTTGTAGCCTATACCTAAATGAAGACATTTTACACAGACTTTGGGTTATACATTTCAAAGAACTGACTAGAACTGGCTGATATGATGAATTAAATTCAATTGCAATAGACCGTTTGCAGTCAATGCCAGTTAAACAATTATACTTTAGTAAATGCATGTTTTTAATACATATGAGTGATGGGGATGATAGGATATATGCATATTTCTGCATGGAGAAAAAAGCTCACAGACTTGCAAAATGGTCTATG